ACGAGCTCTTGTTACTACGACCCTCTCGCCTTGTAGCGCCTATGGAACAAGAAAAACCAACTATCAGAAAATTCCAGATCAAATACGACCCCTCTATTGGATAGCCCCCAACAATGATGTTTCCTGTTAGCTTAGAACTCTAAGAGGGACCGAAGGAGGATTTCTTATCAACTGTGAGCGATACCTCCTGAAGAAGGTTAGCTCTCTGGCGGGGCCTTGAATAGGCTCAGTTCCAGTAGTTCCATCAAAATCATCTTAACAGCAAATTTCATTGAGGTATGATAGGTTATTCTTGCTTGTTTTTGTGTTGGATTGGATTTCGCTGAGGAACGAGGGGCTACGTGAGATGCTTGCTTGGACGAACATGGTCCCAACCCTTTCAAGCTTCGAAGACGTCGAAAGAAAGTGGAACGTCAGCCTATGAAGGTGTTTACGGTCATTATCACACAGGTATGTAAGTAGGGCGCCAGAGGCGGTGGGCTTCGGCGCGGCGCCAACCCATTTCCCTGCGATGGTTGCGGCTCCGGGCGCTCAGTGAGTGGTAGGAAAAGGGCTGGTACCTTAACAGAACCCATCCACTGCTGAAGGCTTCGACTGACTGCGGTGATAACAACTGCAACAACTTCGTGAACAGTTCTAGGAAGGACCTGTCAAGATATCGAGGAAATACCGAGGTTTTTGGAGAGTCACTAATGCATTTACTTAAAAAAATTTTTTGACGTCAAATAAAATAAATGCATTTACTTAATGAATTTTTTGAGGGCTTCATCAAAAAAAAGCTTACTTCACGTTTCCCACGCGCCATTAATGACACAAGAAAAAAAATAGGAGACTAAAGGGCAGGGAAGTGATGACACAATGGTGAAGAAACACAACGAAAAGAAGTGAGCTATTGTGCCCTCAACAAACATCCAATTAATCTTCACAAACCAATCAAGTGGGCCTAATTGCTTTCGAGGACCAACAATTGAAAGAAATCGTACTCTAGCACTTCGCGAACTTGTCGTACAAATTTGCGTCCCCCGGGCCTTGTGGGAGGATTTTCCCTTTATGTCACCAAAAATAGGAGTGCGGTTTCTCTGGCAGTTTTAAGAACTTGTAAAACGAGGAAATGGCGCAGTTTGTCGACGGGGGCATTCTGCTTTCCATAGATGTGGCGACCCATCTAGGTAGCCTTTTCTCGAGTTAACACGTTTTAGGATGGTGGCTAGACTATCTTGCACCAGCTTCACAAGGATTCACAAGTTTTACCAGGGTGGGATTTGTAAACCGGAACTAGGGAAGCAATGGCTTAGCTACAACAATGCTCCCCCCCCCCCCGTCGACAACCAGCGCCCGAAGAAATGACTGCAGAAGGCTCATTTTGTCAAACCCGTGTCGCCACTTTGAGGGAACTAAATTTTAATATTTGAAGAGGTTTGGAAAGTGCTTACCTATTCTTACACTTCAGAGCAGAATCTATCAAAACTCTAAAACTAGATTTAGCAAAATCTTTCACTGGGTAGATGATTTTGCCAAGTGCATTTCGAGAACGCATGGATTTGATGGTGGGGGAGGCGATCTTTATCACCAAAATTTTCGTCCTCTCAAGAGGAAAAGCGCTGGGGCTAGGTCATACATAGCCTATTTAGCGCTGGTGAAGACGCATGTTGTTCTGGAATGTTTTTTTTTTCACAATCATTCATTTTCTTTGTTTCTAATACTGTTGGCGCCTGTAGCGCTGGTGCCAGGCAATTCTCGCGAAAGTGGACGCGCGATTTGAATTCGGAAAAAGTAAGTACCTTTAGAGATCACAAGATTGCTGAGTTATAGGCAGAAGCCTGAGCCAGGTGGCACACGAGCTCGAATATCTGTAGAGGTAGTACGTTACAACATTGCTGGTTCCATGCATTGTGGCACAACGCAGTGAGATAGGTGTCAGGCGTTTTCTCAAGAACTGATATGATATTTGGTCTGAGGGGTCAGTCTTCCGCCGGGGACAAAGGTCGGCACAGTTCGGCTCAAAAGGGGGGGGGGGCATTTTTCACTTTAGCTACTTCTCATCGTCGTGTCGAGCCATCAAACAGAGATTCATGAAACCTTGCGGGGCGATGAAAACATACCAGTCTTTGTAGAGAATACGTGCCAATTCTAGTAAAGCAGTGAACGTGACAATGAGAAGTGGCAAAAGTGCAAAACGCCCACCCCACCCCCTCCCCCCTCTCGAGGCGAACTGATCCCAGAACTCTATTAAAGCCTGTTTCTCGTTAAAATTCAAGAGCTGTGAACGTAAAGAGAAAATAGTGTCTAGAAAGCAATTGAATACATACTTTTCATTGGGGTATTACGGTGTTTTGCCTCCCCTCCGCCCGCGTGATCGTAGGATAGAACGGCTACGAAGCAACTAGTGCGCTACAGGATCGAAATGGGCAATCTATGAATTTACTGACAAGGCAATTCCTGAAGCCTATTCGGATTTCATGCCTGGATGAAATTTTACAAACATGAAAATGCCAAGCAGATGCATCAGCATCGCATCCTGGGCCTTATTGCCCAGGAATTACGCTCTGGCGTAATAGATGCGTGCCTATAACCCGCACTTATGGCGCTATTTAGACGGCAACAGTCTCTTCCTTAGTCCATGAGTAGCTATTAGGTTGGACGGAAAGCCTG